CTGCCCAGACCCCCCCGCGGGCCCAGCAGGCACACCTGTTGTTGCACTGGCCCGTGATGGTGCGGTACTTGTCCCCATCGGGGCACGACACCCCCACGTCCTGGTAGGCGCAGCCGCTGGACTTGGACAGCAGATTCAGCTGGGCGGGCGTCAGCACGTCTGCGGGCAGGGGAACCAGGGGTGTGGGAGCGGAGCCCCTCACTTCCTACCCTAAGCTCAGCAGCCTTGGTTGGGGGAGGGGGGCAGCCTTAGGACATGGAGGGGAGACTCGATGTCCCTGAGAGGAGTTGGGGGGATCTCTGGGAGGCGGTAGAGTCGCGTGGAGGGGTCACTAGTGGAGCAGGGGTTGGGGTGTCGGGGCAGCAGTACCAGTGACGTTGAAGGGCCTTGACCACAAGGGCCGCAGCTTCCCCTCCAGCAGGCTGAGGGCCACGTGCAGATAGTCAGCAGCCCTCACAGCTGTCCTGGTGGCCGCCACGGGCTGCTTGAAATAGGACAGGAGCTCCATGGGGCTGGCCAAACCACTGTGAAGCCGCTGCTTGATGCTGCGTGGAGAAGGAGGCGTTAGGGCCAGAGAAAGTGGGCGGAGACACTCAGCAGAGCCCCAACCCCGCAGATGGACACACAGGACAGTGTGACAGACTCGGACAGGAAGGTTTCCCTTAATAAACAGGGTGTGGACCTGGGGGTCCAGGCAGAGGCAAGGCCATGGGAGGGGTGGCTTTGAAGATGTTCTCCCACTCTGGGACTGACAGACAGACAGAGGGCCCCACCCCACCTCCCGTGCCTGCTGCTTTTCTGAAAGGCCTGGCAGCCTTGCCCAGGGCTGGGCAGTGCCCGGCACCCACCTTTCCCGTCGCTCCTTGTAGGCCTTGTCCACTAGCCGCTTCGCCTCCTCCATGCAGGTCACAACCACGGAGGTCTCCACCTCCCCCGGGACAGCTGCCCAGAGAGGGGGTTGCAAGGTCAGGAAAGGGCCCAAAGCAACCCCTCTTCCCGTGAGGCCCCAGAGCCAGCGTGGCCTTCACTGGAGAAGGAATCCCTGGAACTCAGACCCACCCCCAGCACCCCACCTTTCCCTTCCTTCTGAACTGTTACCTGGAGCAGCACCCTCAGAGGGCCGGGACAGGGCCAGAATGGCCAGGAGCCCGGCGAGGGCCAAGAGCAGCTTCATCTCTACAACAAGACCCCAAGCCCACTAAGTGTCCAAAGCTCACGGTGCGTTTGGGAGAAGAGAGCCCCACCATCCCGCTCCTCCCAGCCCCTCACTTGCACCTTCATACCCCAGTCCCACCTCCATAGGCCCTGCCTATGGTCAGAGCCCAAGCCTCCTTGAGGGAGGGGTGCACAGTGCCCCTCCTTTGCTAGCTTCAGTCACTCAACCCCCCAGGACCTGACTTCTGAAGTTACCTAGCATTGGCAGCACCTCTCAGCTGGATCTAGGCTTTTATGTCCTCCAAGCTGGGGGAGGGCTGGGGCAGGCGAGGCCCGCCCCTAGAGCCTGAACTCTCTCTCCTCCCCCACTGGGAAGAGGCCCCTGATATGGGAGAGAAGGGCAGGAAAGGGGGGTCCAGAACTGTCCCCTTTCTAGGCACAAGGAGGTACAGATAACTAACTCCCCTCCCCAATTTCTGATTAAGCCTAGTCTCCAGAGGGTTCCTTGGAAAAGGACAAAAGTCAGGAACCAACAGCCTAAACAATGATGGGAACTAGAGAGACACCAGAGGAGGAGGGAAGCTAAAGGGGAGACCTGGAGTGATGATAATCCCATCAGCCTAAGGGTACTGTCCCCACCCCCAACCGTAACCTGGCCCCTGAGGCCAACCCTGGTGGGCAGCCGCAAATTCCTGGAAAGGCTAAAGGGACAGGAAATCTGGCTGAGACCGTTGGGTTTCACAGGAAAGAGGACCCCGGGGGCTACGGGCTCAGGACCAAGGTAACTTCCTCTATCTCTCTCTTCCTCCCCTTTCTTCTTGGCTTTTGGTAGGGGGCTGCCTCCAACACCCCCACCACCTGCTCCCAGATATCAGGAACCAGGTTGTGGTTAGTGGTCAGTTGGGTGATGCAGCCCAAGGCCTCTCTGAGACAAGACGAATGCAGTTAGGAGGACTGGGGTTAAACTTTGGGCTTGTGCTGAAACAGAAGAGGAGGAAGTTTCTCCCCTGAAGAAGGCTGGCCAAGGGGCCACCGTTCTCAGACAGGAAAGTGCCCTGTGACTAGTGACTGCATTTGTCCACCTTTCCTGGGACTTCATCAGCCTGGGCACATGCCAACCGTGGCTCCCATGTCCTATTTGGTCGAGCCACACCTACTCCAGCCACCTGCCACCCTCACTCTTGTCTTCTGTGCCCGGACCACATCTTCTTGGTCAAGGAATAAGGGACAGCAACGCACCCAGAGCACCTTTCCAGAGATCCTGAAACTCACTGGGAAACGGAGCCCAGGGGCCCATGAGAGAGAAGACATTGTCCCAGGCTTGCTTTGCTAGGTGTGAACTTGGACAAGCAACTCTTTTTTTTTTTTTAATTATTGATCCCTTCTAGCCCACTGGACAAGCAACTCTTTGTGAATCAGGCTCTACAGTTTTAAAGACTTTTGAAATACTTTTTTAATCCTATAAGAAATACATTTCCATTCACAAAAACTTATAGAACACAAGCACAAAGTTTAAAAAAATCAAAATTACTTAAAATCAAGTGAGAGCGTGCGTATCTTTTTTTCTTTCCAGGTTTGTTATTGTTTTTTACATGAATAAGAAGCAGGAGATTCATCATTCACTGATAACCCCATGTCATAATTTGGTATCCTATGTGTAGATATAATATGTATTTTAAATAATGATAAGAAAAAACTTTAAATATTGTTTTATGAACCTGCTTTCAGTATTTAACAGTGTAGCCTGGACTTTCATGTTAACCAATACAGATTTACTCCATTTTTATGTCTGTGTAATATTTTCGTATGAAATACGATGATTCATTCGGCAATCCTCTCTTGTTAGGGACTTGGGTTGTCTCCCATTTTCACTATTATAAGCAGTACTAGGATCAACATCCATGGACTTAAACTTCTAGTCACGTCTTCCATCATTTCCTTAGGCAAGAAGTTCTGGAAGTAAAATTGCGGTAATATTTGGGTATCCACATTTTTAAGGCTTTTTGCAAAAAAAAATTGTCACATGGCCTCTTGAAGATTGCACCTCACCCTCCATCGCATGGGAGCACTCACGCCCAACACCCGCATCAGTTCTGACAGTTAGTGTCCTTTTGCTCTTTCAAGGGAATTGTCGAGGCTCAAGAGGGAAGAGACATTTAATAAAAGCTCCTCTTGGCACAGATGAGAAAGATGGAGCCCCGTGAAAGAAATGACTGCCAAGGGCAGCACAGTGGCACCGCGCAGAATCATCTGCCAGGTCTCCTGATGTCCGCATCCGCACTCTGCCCAATGGCCTCTACACACCGTTTCTGACCTTTAGCGCGGGCATTTATTCAACAGGTAGTTACTGAGCCCTTGCACGTGCCAGGCAGGTACTGTGCTGGCCACTAGGCGTAGCCCACTGAGCAAAGAGCAAGCCTTGTCCTGGAGGATTCACAGGAGGACGCAGGAAGGCACCCCAATGGCACCCCAAGAGCTGTGTGCAGGGTTCTTTAGGAGCTTCGGAGAACAGCGCTTGGACCAACTGGGGAGACCTAGAAAAGCTTTCTCGAGGAGTTGGTGCTTGAGATTATCTTGAAGAATGTTTAAAAGTTGGCTAAGTGGACACAGGAAGAGCATTCTGACACAGCAAAGGGCTGGACGCAGGTGGGCTCCATGCAGATCATTACACCATGAGACACACTCTACGGGGGGGGGGGGGGGGGGGGGGGTAGGATGAGGCAGAGGCCCAGGACCTACTGAGAAGTCCTGGTCCTGAAGACTCTAGGGAGCCATAAAGGCTATACAGTGCATGGTCAGTTTTATTTTAGAAACCTCACTTGGGCAGCAGAGCGGAGGGTGCACTGGGGTGGGGATGGGGCAGGCCCAGAGGCCAAGAGCTGGGCAGGAGGCATCTTAGCGATTCATGGGCCTCAAAAGGCCACCCCGTTTTCTCAGGGGAGGCAGTGAATGTTTGAAAAATGACAGCCTTTGCAAAGAATGATTCAAAAATCCCCTTCACTCTACCCACGTGGTGGTGGGAGAATTCTCAAGATGTATAAGCGCCAAACCATCTGCCTTTGGCTCAGGGCCGGGGCCATGGGCCTGCTTTTGTGTGCAGAGACTTGAGATGCTCTGTGACTTTACAGTGTTTCTAATCAATGAATGACCCGACCGGAATCACTGCATGGCAGCCCAGTGCACCGCTACCGATCCCTCATCTAGGACCTCCTTGTCTGGCCCTGGTGAACTTGAGGTTCTAAGGGCTTCCCAACATGCAGAGTAACCTGAAGGAGAATACATTGCCCCAGGAGCTATTCCAAACAAGCCTTGTCCCCTAAGTTCTCCCCGCCCCCCCACCCCAACTCCCCATCCTGGGGGTGGCCTCTGGAGGGCACTGCAGGGACCCTGCCTCTCAAGCCTATAGTCCTTTGAGGATGGCCCCAACCCACCCCTAAGGTGAAGTCCAACTGCCTGTGGGATAACGGGCTCTCTCTGCTACTGTTTGCAAAACAGTTTGTTCTTTCTTAATGCTGTTTGGGGAACGATTCAGTTGGGATTACAGCCAGATTTCCTGTGCGAGTGTGTGGTTGGAGAGCAGGAGGCTATGGAAGCTGGGGAGGGGCGGTGGGTAATGACATCAATTGCACCCAGCCCAAAGACCTTGTTTCCTCTCTCTTTAAAACTTTAAAAATTAATTTCGAATTATACAGGTCATCCTTGGAGCTACTTTGAGTAAAATTAAAATATAACAAGTCAGGTTAAAGCTCTCTTTAGACCGGGGTATTGCACCATCCCCAATTCCAGTCCCCTTCCTCCACTCCTGAGACATACACACTGGTCATTTTTGTATTTGTCCTTCCAAACCTTTTACTTTGCATTCGTTTCTATGTGTAGATCTGTGGAAAATATTCCTCTGCCTTTATTTTTCCATAAGTGCTATCACATTACATACACTGTTGGGCAATGTGCTTCTCTCACTCAACAATACACCTTGACAGCAATCTCACTTTTTAACTGCTGTGTAGTATACTTTAACAGAATTATACCTCCATTATGCAGACATTCCTCCATTAATGGAAATTTTCATTTTTCCATTTTTTTTTTCAGTAACAAAAACAATGAAATGAAGGCCTCTTTGTACACACACTCAAGTGTTCTCCAGGATGAAGATTGAGAAGTGGGCCACAGATTTTGTGCATTTAAAAATTTTAATAGCTAGATGTTGCCAAACTGTCCTCCAAACTTTGTAAAATTCTCCTGGGCAAAGATTGGAATCACATTATTGGATCAATGTTTATTTCTTTGATGAGTAGTGAGACTGAGCACCTTTTTATTTATATTACCTCTTCTGCAAATTTCCTGTGTTTGGTTTTATCTATTTTCCTATTGGATTGTCACTTTTTATTGATTTGTAAAAGATATTATATGTTCTGGATAAACACTAATCCGTCAGCTATGTGTGTTACTAATGTTTGTTTTTTATCCCAGCCTGTCACTTCTCATTTCTGTTTGGTTTTTTTTTTATAGGGTTTTAATTTTGATGTGGTCAAATTTTACCCATCTTTTCCTTTATGGATTTTTTCCCCCAGACTTGGTTAAGAGGATCTCCCTTTCTACAAGATCATAAACATATTTTCTGATATATTCTTAGTACTATGATTTTTCACATAGAGATTGCTCAACCATCTGGAATTTTTGTATATGCACAATGTAAGGTAGGGAGCTACTTTCAATATTTTCCAAATAAATAACCAATTGGCCCAATGCCTTTCATTGAATAATCTCATTTCTCCACTGAATTGAGATACGTTTTTTATCCCACCATAAGTGTATATTTTATTCTACCGATCTACAAGTCTATTTATCCATTCCCATGTTAATCCTTCATTGTTGCAACTACCCTAACTTCCTAATATGCTTTGATTTCTGGTAAGATAAATTCTCCTTTTTCAAAAGAATCTTCAACATTCTAACACATGTAGTCTGTCTCATGAATTTTTGAATGTCTAATTCCATGAAAACTCCTATTGAGATTTTTATTGATATTGTATTCAATTTATACGTAAACTTGGTGACACTGACATCTTGATGATATTAAGTTTTCCCATCCATGGACATTCATTCACTCAACATATATTTACTGAGCACCCATGTGCTGCACTGTTCTGAGTCCTGGGGATATAGCAATCAACAAATGACTTGCTCTTGTGGAGTTTACTTTTTTGAGTAATGCATTGAGTCTACATTCTTGAGTGTGTAATTTTATTTAAGTCTACTTTTATATTCTTTATTGAAATGTTACTGTTTCACCTTCTTGTTAGGTCTATTCCTAAATACTTTCTTTTTGAAAAATGTATATAAATTTGATCTTTAAATTTCTCCACAGAATTTGTCAACTCTGTAAGTATTCTTTCCCATAAAAGCATTCAGGGTAACTATTTTAAAGATAAAAAATTTAGTATGCTTCTTTTCATTTTCTTTTGGAGGTAGATCCCCAAATATGAAAAGCACTGGGCATTTTACACCCACCATTCTAGAAAGGTTTCATTCTCTATTTAATTAAACAAAAAATTTTCAAAGAGTAAATATTCAAGCTTTTGTTAGTTTCAAATACTGCTTCAAAAATTTTTTTAGGGAAGTATTATAAAGGTAAAGAAAAGTTAAATTACATGATTACACAAATGTTTGATAGTTATTCTGTTAACTCCCTTTATACTTGTGTTTATTGGTGGGGGGTAGAGGGGTAAACTTTCATGAGACAAAATTCTACAAAAAAAAACCCCAACAACAATACACACACAGCACCAAACTCAAGGAAAAATAATTCAAGATTCAGATTAGTTAAAATTCAAAGAGACTGATAAAGCTAATGCCAGTCAGCAGGTGAAAAAATAAGTACAGCAATTGCCCCCATGCCACGGGATGGCAATTTGGCAATGTTAGTCAAAGTCCAAAACGCATATTTGCTCTGACTCAGCAGTATTAAATCCAGGAAGGAACTTATCCTTCAGAGGCAGGCTTAGGAAAGCATAAAGACATCTGCACCAGGGTGTTCACTTCAGCCTCATTTCCAACTACGAAAAGACGAGAACCAAGCCAAAGAGCCCTCACAAAAACGTGCCACATTGTGATACACCCACATGATGGGGTTTTTGTTGTTGTTTGGCTTTTTGCTGCCTTTAAAACTGATGAGGGAGGTCAATATGTAACAATACAGAAAGATATCTCCCCCAACAAATCTACTTTAAAATAATATAAAAATAGCCCTAACATGTTTGGCTCAGTGGATAGTCAGCCTGTGGACTCAAGGGTCCCAGGTTTGATTCCGGTGAAGGGCATGTACCTTGGCTGCGGGCACGTCCCCAGTAGGGGGCGTGCAGGAGGCAGCTGACCGATGTTTCTAACTCTCTATCCCTACCCATTCCACTCTGTACAAAATCAATTAAAAAAAATAATATAAAAATAAAGGCAGACATTCTCACTTTTGCCTCAGGGCCCCAGGGGAGAAGGAGAATGCAAAACAGTCACACATGGAACCCCCGGCTGCCCGTAGCCCTGGGGTGTCTTCTGCTCTGGGCCACCTCTAGGCCGGAGCAGCCTGCAGGAACTCCCCCACAGGCAGCCTGCTTGGAGGATTCTGAGTAGGATCGCCCATCTGTTTGTCTCTTCTGGAATCCTGCTGTTTCTAGTCTTGCTATGCATGGTGAGTGTTTGCTTCTTTGGTTAGTTTTTCTTGCATCTTTTGTTTCCCCGAGTTTGGTCCAGGGGGCTCAAGATTGCAGAATGCGCCTTCTCTCTGTGCTCCCTTCGCCCCCTTCTCTTTCTCCCTCCAGGACCCTGCCCCAACTCTAACACCTGGCCCTGCAACCAGGGACTCAGGAAGCTGACAAAGGTTCTTCTCCAGAGAAGAAACTCAACAGCTGCTTGCTGTTCATGCATTTTGCCCCGGGCACCCTGGGATGTAAGTCCAGGTTCTCAAGTCCAGCATGACCTGCCCCCTGAGGAGTCCTTCGCCCGAGGTAGAATCCAGCATGGGTTTTGTGAAAATAGACTTTATTATAATAAAATGTCTTTTTAAACAAATACCCCCACCACTCCTCACCCCTGGAGACCAAGGTGGGGGTGGGGTTCAGTCAAACCATCTCCCACCACAGCGAAGGAAACATGCAGACACTCACCCCGCAGGGTAGGCGGGTGGGATGGACGGGGAGGGGAGGGTGGAGAGCCCCGCCCCCGCCCCGCTCTGAACTGGGAATGTATGAAAATAGCTGCATAAATCTGTCCTCCGCCAGCCCAGGCGCTCCGGCAGGGGCCAGAGGAAAACGATGCAAAAGAGAAATTCAATCTGATGAGCAAAATAAGGCAAACCCAACCCCTGCTTTCTGCCTCTGGCCCCTGGGTCTCTGGGGTTGGGGGCACACGGGGGCCAGAGGCGGGGCTGGCAGGGAGGGTGGAGCCCTCTTGGGGGTAGGCCCGCTTTGGCACGGCCTTTCTCCTTCCCGGGCCTGTGCAATGGATGCGAGATGGAGGAAGCTAGACTGAGGCACTGAGTATGTACATATATACACGGCCTGTGGGGAGGGCTCGGGACCATCCAGTGCAAACTTTCCTTCAGGGGAGGGAAGACATGACGGGGAGAGCCAGTGCCATCCAAGGGAACAGGCCCCTTTCTCCCCCAGGGTCCCCTGTCCTGGAGGGGGAAGGCCAGAGAACGGACTAGCATCCCGTGGTGAGAAACTAGGCAGAGGTGGGTGTGCTGAGCCAAGAGTCCCGGGTCCAGTCCTGGCTCTGTGAGCACGGTGAGTTCCTTCCTCTCTGGGCCTGTTTCCCCTCCTGTAAGAGGACGGTGCCCACTCAGAGGATTCATCCTCAAGGACTCATTTAGCTCTGACCTTCCCCGAGTCTCTGATTCCATTCCAATTGCCACAGTGTTAACTCAGAAGAATAGAAGTCCAGGGCCGTCCTCCCACCCCACGCCCAGGACAGGAACCCGGGGGACGGGGGGTGGGGGGGGGTGCCTCCGGGGCCCACTTCCTTCTGCAGGATGTGCCAGAGCATCACGCCTTCTTCCCAGAGCCCAGTTTCCTGAGGAGCTGCTTCCCCTTGGAGAAGAGGTCCCGCACCTTCTCGCTTGTGCCCTGTAGCGCCCCCAGTTCAATCCTGGGAAGGCTGCCAGGGCCAGGAGCACAGGGCCCACCTGGAGGCCCCCGGGGCACTTGTGTTGAGCCAGCCCAGTCCTGGAATGTGAGAGAAAAGGGACAAAGTCAGGGCCCAACTCCCCGCCCTAATTTGACTCCTTTACCCTACAGCTTCAGGGGCCCAGAACTCCATGTTGCAGAGCCATGGTCAAGGACCAAAGCCCACCTGGCCGGTGCGCTCAGTCGTTAGAGCATCGGCCCATGCACTGGAGGGCTGCGGTTTCGATTCCCAGTAAAGGTCACGTGTCTGGGTTGTAGGTTCGACCCCGGCCCCAATGGGGGCACTTGTGGGAGGCAACCAATCTATGCGTCTCTCTCACATCAATGTTTTTTTTTTTCTCTCTCTCCCCTCTCCTCCCTCCCTTTCATTCTCTAAAACAAACAACAAACACAGAGCCCTGCCACCCTGCCTGTCCCACACACAGAGCACAGAGGTGAGTGAGCACAGTGACGCTGAGGGAGTACTGAGCCAGGAGTCTGAAGGGACAGAGGCAAAGACAGTTCTGCTCCTGTCCACCTGGCCCTGGGCAAGCCCCTCCCTTTCTCTGAGTCTCACGTGTCTGGGTTGTAGGTTCGACCCCGGCCCCAATGGGAGCACTTGTGGGAGGCAACCAATCTATGCGTCTCTCTCACATCAATGTTTTTTTTCTCTCTCTCTCCCCTCTCCTCCCTCCCTTTCATTCTCTAAAACAAACAACAAACACAGAGCCCTGCCACCCTGCCTGTCCCACACACAGAGCACAGAGGTGAGTGAGCACAGTGACGCTGAGGGAGTACTGAGCCAGGAGTCTGAAGGGACAGAGGCAAAGACAGTTCTGCTCCTGTCCACCTGGCCCTGGGCAAGCCCCTCCCTTTCTCTGAGTCTCTCTATGGGGTGCTGAGCTGACAGAGTTCAAGAGTCCTTGGACCTGACCCTCAGGAGGAGTTCCCCAATGTCCGCTTGTCATAACCTCGCAATGAAGGGAGAACAAGGACCAGGACCACTAGAGGCAGCTGTCCCCTCCAGGGGGCCAAGGGGCATGCCCTCCAGCCCAGCAGATGTGCTCCCCCCGGGCCTTCGTGGAGGGGAGCCAGTGCCACTCCATGGGGAGGAGATGGGAACTCTTCCTTGAATGGCCCTGAGAGAGCAGCTGGGAGCCTGAAACCAGAGATATTTGGGCGTTGCTCAGCCCCCAGCACAAAGGAGGCTGCCCTGGCCCCTCCTTTAGCATCTCTCCCTTGCTGAACCTCCTAGCTCCGTGGTTGGCAAACTGCGACTCTTTGGCCCCTTGAGTGTGGCTCTTCCTAAGCCTTAGGAGTACCCTAATTAAGTTAATAACAATGCACCTACCTATATAGTTTAAGTTTAAAAAACTTGGCTCTCAAAAGAAATTTCAATCGTTGTACTGTTGATATTTGGCTCTGTTGA